TATTGCTGTACTATTTTGCTTTAAATGCTCTGCCAATGGAGAAAGGTTCAGGCTCAAGTAGGCCCAAGAGTTTAAACCTTAAATTTGAATGTAACATACAGTACTCCCATCAATTAAAAATCCAGGAAGCTACAAATCTTGTATGAAAAAGCTTGAATTTTCACAAGCTCACCTAAGCATGTTGCAAGATAAATTATGATTTGCTATATGAATGGCTACACATATCGAAACAGATATTTGTTGATTTCTTCATACAGGCCTACTAATCAGAAGCAGGCATGCCACTCATGAAAGATTCGGTGAAATGTATGACACACGTTTATTCACACCTCAAGAATGTTGTTTATCATGGCTCAAGACAGAATTAAGTTTGTTCATCTAGCAAAAAGAGTTGCCTGCTATGTAGTATTAAGCAGGGGTACACATGAGCAATGAAAACACGTGTCGCGCGGCAGTTTCTATCACTCTAAAAAAAGTATGTGCGTCTACTTTCCCGCACAACACTCGGAGAGCCAATCAGCGCAACTTACGGAGGCAGCTCAGCGAATGACGATGCCGAAACATCTGTTAAGACCGAAAAACGCAGACTGAGTTGTGACATTAAGTAATGCAAGTGTGACGTTTTGCATTGCTTAATGTCACAACTCAGACTGTGTTTTTTGGTCTAAACATATGTTTCGGATCGTCATTCACTGAGCTGCCTCCGTAAGTTGCGCTGATTGGCTCTCCGAGTGTTGTGCGTGAAAGTAGATGCACAGACGTTTTTTAGAGTGCAACTTCCGCGGTCGCTATGACGTGAACCTATGCCATGCCGCCACATCACAGCGTCCACGCAATTTGCTATGGAAACTGCCGCGCAGCACCCGTCTTTGTCGCTTATGTGTCCTCTGCTTTAGGGCCGTATATACAATGGGTTTAATCATTCATGGAAATGCGTAGAAGGCAAATAAGGAGGCGCCATTGACCGAAAGTGAACTGGGCATGTTCCAGGGCATTTTCACAAATTCGAATGTGGCCAACCAGAAGCCGCGAATAATACCCCGGCGGTGGTCGCGAGAAAAAAAAAAATGGATAAGTGCGTCGGAGTAACTCTTAGTGACTGAAAATATGTTGCACGTGATGTTATTATATGGGTCATACAAAATCATGGTGAAAGATATATAAATATATAGAAGATATAAAAAGAATCCGCGACTAGTAGTACGATAGACGTAATTCGTACACCAGGCACCAAGGGCCTGAAATCTGCCGTCTATGCGGTTAGACTCCATCTGAGCAAAACGATTTCGAGCGGCACATTTGTTTCATAAATCTTTTTGCTCGATCATAATCGAAAAATCACATGCACCACATTTTCAACCATGAAGAGTTAGTACATTTAACTCTTCGCACTTATTAAAACCGTTTCTCACTGCCACCGCCAGGGAATTATTTTCAGCTTCTGGTTTGCCAAGAGATCATGTCCAGCCCTCTATGTGTGTCTGGTACACGCTCTGGCTCTGGCCGCTCCTCCCATCGATCAAACTTTCTCTATACACGGCTCTGCTCTGCGTTAGCCCCGTTGAGCGTGCTTCTTACCGAGCACCGGTGCACTGCGGAAAAGTAACGCTCGTGGAAACGAGTTTCGCTGGTGTTACTTTTCCGCAGTGCATTGGTGCTCGGAAAGACTAGCGGAAAGAATTCAGCTGTACTGGGCTTCTAGTACTCGGCCAGTTTTGTGTTGCCGACAACGAAGGGAGCATGCGCGCCTTTATCGCAGGCGGGTTTTGTCAGCAGCTCCTTGACAGCTTTCAAGCCTGTACGTGACGTGACGTGACGTCACGTCCGGAGGTCGTCACGGGTGCTGATTCGATGCGAGTGACGCGTCAGCGTCCGCGTGGGACTCGTTCCCTATCGTAGTCCCGCCCGAACGCTGACTCGGCACTCGCATCCAATCAGCGCCCGTGTAGGCCTCCGGGACGTGACGTCATGTCACGGATGCGCAGGCTTGAAAGCTGTCTAGGTGGTGCTGGTTCGGTACCGAGAAAGAGCGAGTAAAGCAGTGATGCCCTCGCTCTTTCTCTGATGATAGTGGCGGTTGAGGTTCGTTCGCCGTTCGGCCGGTCGCGATTCCGCTGGGGTTCGTGTGATCGCGATACTTGCCCCCCCCCCCCCCCCCCCTTTTTTTTTTTCGCCTTCGGTTGCCCGTTTCCTGAGCGTTCTAATGGCCCGTTGACAGACTTGCGTTTGTATCCGACCGACTGAGACAAGACCTGTTTTTGAGGCCTCTTGTGACGGCCGACCGGCTGCGCAGCCATGCAGCCTGTCGTAAGCCGCTGCAAGAGGCTTTGAAACCGGTCTTGTCTCACTTAATCGTAGAATGAGGATGCCGAAGCATATTTCGGAGCAAACAACGACTGCTCGAGAGCATAAGCCCGTGACGGACCGTCGTCGTTGTGTAGGCGCCGACGCTGTCGCCCTAGGTGTTGGAATGGAAGGCCTGTGATGTTCGGATCTTGCTGCGCGTGAACGTGAAGCGGCACGTAGAAGGGAACGTTACCGAGCGAATAATGGACACGCTGGTGCGACCAAGTGATATGTGCACAGCGTCCGCGAGACTGTTTGGTGCTAGCTGTCCTGTGTGTACCGTATTTTCCGGACTATAGTCCGCACCCGGTGTATAGTCCGCAGGGGGAAATTTGGGGTGAAAAATAAAAGGTTTTGCTTAGATAGCCCGCACCCGGTGCATAGTCCGCACCTGGTGCTTAGTCGACACGAAAATCTTCTCAAAGACGGCACACAAATGTCTGCTCTTTAGCTCACAATAAAGCCTATAATGTGCATAAATCATCATTAACATACACTTTCGTGCACAAAATTCGTGACGTCATAATAAACGATCTTGAAAAAAATAATTCCTGTATAGTCCGCACGCGTAGATAGTCCGCACAGCCAGAAATTTCAACTTTTAAACATGTATAGTCCGTGGACTATAGCCCGGAAAATACGGTAACCGGTTGTGGTTTACGCGAGACAAGCGCGACGAAACACCGCCGGAATTTCTAGTCAATCACGATATATTATCATCAAAATATCGCACCAGTTGACGCTGTTGATTCGCATCTCAACAAGTAATTCTCCGCGGAATGACTTTTTTTTTTAGCGGCGTTTTGTGTATTAGTTGTGAATAGTGGAATTCTGAGGTGAGACAAGGGCATAAACCGACACAAAAAGAGAAACTCGAGCCATATTAATTGCATTTGCTGCCAACGGCACCCTTCTTTCTGATAAGTTGTTTCCGATATCCGCCATGAGCAAGTAGTGCATAAAGATAAAAAAGGCAGTAGCCTTTTTTTTATCTTTACTGTTTTTAGCGTATTTGTTGTATGTTTTTGTTCTTTCGCTTGCCTGTTTTGAAAAAAAAAAAAGTTTAGATGAAAGTACGCCGCGTCTTGCTAGCATCATTTTCTTCTATCACCGTCTTAAGGCGTCCCACTTCAACAGAGCTGTGCACATGCACGCTTTCCTTGAGGGTGGAAAATAAAAAGCAAGTTAATATAAATTATGATTTACACCGTGATTTATATTACACCAGTATTACCGTAAAATAATTTAAATCGCACATTTACAAAAACGAATTTCTAGAATATATTTTTGTTTACTGTTTCTTTATTATTGGAGTCTTGTCATGAGCGTGTGATTTTGTAATAAACTGAAGAAATCATCGAGCAAAGAAAGATTTTAATCAGAGTGAACATGCGCAGAAAGTGGTACTCTTCTGAGAAATCGGTGTGTTCCGAGCTGTCTTTTTACTTTCCGCTTTGTTCCTCAGATATTTGATGTCTCATTCCAAGCAATAGTCAAGCACGAAAGAGGAAAGAAAATCAAGAAAAGTATACTTTCATGCATATGCACGAAAATCCAGACCGGCAGAGATAGAGCCAAAAACTGAGAAAGACAGACCGAGTCATATACGTCAGCTTAATCTTACGTCGGCTGGTAGAGCCGTTTTGTCTCTTATTATCGCCCCACCTGCTTTATGAGAACATACTTGCGAACTTTAAAATACATTCATAGAACAAACCATTGCCGAGAGGCGACTCGCAAAATGTGTTCGAGTTGAAAAACCACAATTTTAAAATTGTTGAAGACTTTTGTTTGGTTGCTTTGCACTTCTGTTGCGGCCAAGAGCCTGGTGATACTTCCTCTTAGCAGGCAGTTGCGCAATCTACAGGAAATTGACAGAAAACACTTTGGCTTGGAGATTTCAAGAACGGTATAGAAAAATGTTTGGCTTGTGTTTGGCTTTTGTTTGTATTCATTGATGCATTACAGCAAATAAACTGTTTTCACTAAGTAAAATATACAAGCTGCTTCTGTTCCAACAAGACGTAGGTCGGCGTTTTCATGAAGAATAGGAACTTCCTAATTAAACTGTGCTCTACGGCATAATTTACATTTTCATTCAATTTATTTGTCTCCAATATTTAAGGTGATTCGGAGCATTAAACAATATACCTCCTATATTAAAAAAAAAGCATGAAAGATATAACGTGTTATTGTGTATATAAAGTGATTTAAACCATGCAAATCTTATTTGAAACAAGTGAAATTTAAATCAGCTAAATCTCACTAAATAAAATTGGATTGTGTGAGCGTGCTTTGTACTCTTTTTCATCCTATTTTCTGCCGCAGGGACACAAACACAGTGCCGCGTTTGTGTCCCTTTCTAGTTCTCGTCTTTTGCGCTGAATTAGAGGTTATAGATTACCAACTAAAACCCAATTATCAACCCTAGCCATATCAGTAGACGCCCACATCTTACCCGGCTCGCTCTCTTCTGCAGTGCATAAAAATAAGATACGAATTGATTTTTGTCAGTGCTTTCGTCGTGCCAGCGAGAACAGGAAATATTAGACGATTCTTTAAACCTGAGCAAACTCTTCTTCATCCTCTTGGGCCTAGAGCTATGATGAAACTCTGTTATGTCTGCGGTGCAAGGAGTGGCCAGACGAAGGAAGGACTGCGAAACAGCTTTATTTCCGCAGAGGCCGGCAGCGATCTGGCTGCGCGTATGACGGTGCTCTTCTTATAGAGCGCCCGGTGACGTCAGTACTACGCGTACTGCTGATAGCAACGGCAGCGGCCTCTAGCACTTCCTCCACCGCAATTTGGAACGTCATGAGGCTTCATAGCGATCGGGGGGTCTTCTCTGGCGTTGTGGGTATCGCCGAGGCGCAGCGTTAGTGGGGGTGACGGGCACCGTTTGTCTTGCGGAGACAGTAGACGGAGGTGGTACGTCGGCTTCAGACGCAGGATAGATGGTGTCGGTATCGTCCTCCCCCACAAGGGACGGCGCTGTCACTGCAGTAGACGCTGAGCGCAGGTGGTCCTTGTGTCGCCTCCAAGTACGGAGTCCATCCGGTGTCCGCACCTTGACCACGTAGGACACTGGTCCCGTCCGCTGCAGTACTGTTGCGTGGAACCATGTGGGGCCGCTCCTGAAATTACGCACGAACACTTCATCGTTCACTTCGAACACACTGTTAGCACCCCTGCGCCGTGAAGTCTGTTCAAACTGACGTGCTCGGATAGTACGATCCAGAGCCGGCTTCAGTGCATCCAACCGTGTTCGTGGCCGACGACCCAAAAAAAGAAAAGATGGGGCTTCTTGAGTCGTCGCATGCGGAGTGTTGCGATATGTCATTAAGAACTTTGACAAGGTTTCCTCCATACTTTCAGTTGCAGGGCCTTTTCGTAGTGCGTTCTTTAGGGTTTGCACAAATCTCTCTGCGAGTCCATTGCTGCTGGGGTGATATGCAGAAGTGAGAACCTGTCGAACTGCCTGTTCTTTAAGGAACTCTTTAAACTCGGACGATGTAAACTGCGCACCGTTATCACTAACCAGAGCTTCTGGTGCCCCATACCGAGCGAATAAATCGCGCAGTTTTGTTATCGTCGCTTCTGCGGTGGTAGACGTCATGACAAAAACCTCCGGCCATTTAGAATGCGCGTCTACAATGACTAGTAGCATACGACCGCGAAGAGGGCCCGCAAAATCTACATGTACCCGTGACCACGGTTGTGTCGGCCATGACCAAGGGTGCAATGGTGCCTTTTCTGGCATGTGGCGCTGCTGTTGGCATGCCGTGCAGTGTCTCACTTGGTTCTCCAAGTCCGTTTCCAAGGAGGGCCACCATACGTAGCTTCGGGCGAGTGCTTTGCTCCGCACTATTCCTGGGTGTCCCTGGTGTAGCTCCTCCAGGACCAGCTGTTGAAGTTTCGGGGGCACGACGACTCTCATTCCATGCATCAGGCACCGCTCGTGGACTGTGAGTTCCCTGCGTCTGTCAAAATAGGGCTTCAACACTTTATCATCAAGATGTGATGGCCATCCCTTCTTGGTGAAGTCTAGGACCAAGCTGAGGACGGGATCACGCTCTGTATGACGCGCGATGTCCCTACTGGTGACTGGTAGAGATGCCAATCGCAGCGTATAAAACGTCTCGTCGTGACTGTCGTCTACTTCTGTGGACTGCAACGGAAGTCGTGAAAAACAGTCCGCGTCCGCGTTCTCTGCGGACGTCCTGTAGGCAAGTTTATACTTGTAGGCTGACAGAGTTACCGCCCACCTCTGCAGTCTTGCGGCGGCTATTGCCGGGATCCCACTCTTTGGCCCAAGGATCGCTTGCAAAGGTTTATGATCAGTAATCAACGTAAACTCCCGACCATAAATGTAGAAGTGGAATTTCTTGACGCCAAAGATTAGGGCGAGCGCCTCCTTTTCAATCTGGCTATAGTTTTCCTCAGCCTTTGATAATGTTCGGGAAGCGTAGGCAATTGGCCTTACCGTGCCATCTTTCATGACGTGCGACAGCACAGCGCCGAGACCATACGCAGACGCATCGCAGGATAGCTGCAGCGGGCGTGCCGAGTCGTAGTGTGCCAGCACCTCCGTCGAAGACAAGATTTCCTTGATGGCTTGGAAGGCATCTTGACATTTCCGATTCCAGCACCAGGGAGCATCCTTCTGTAGTAACCTGTAGAAAGGCTTTGCCAGCGTTGCTAGCCGTGGCGTGAATTTTCCATAGTAATTTATCAGTCCAAGCAGTGAACGCAACTGTGCGATGTTAGTAGGCGCTGGGGCATGCAGCAACGCTTGAACTTTTTCCTCGCTTGGCTTGACGCCGGTCTCGCTGATAATGTGCCCCAGATACTGCAGGCTTTCTTTGAAAAATTCACATTTTTCACGCTTGACGCGAACACCTTTCTGCTGAAGTGTACAAAACACGGCTTCAAGGTTCCTGAGGTGTTCTTCAGCGGTTGCTCCCGTGACGAGAATATCGTCAAGGTAGCATATGACACCCGGTAGTCCTTTAAGTATGTTGTCCATAATGCGCTGGAACAACGCGGGCGCAGACGCTACTCCGAAAGGGAGTCTGTTCACCGCAAAAAGCCCTTTGTGCGTGTTTAGTGTGAGAAGTTTTTTTGAGTCCTCCGACATCTCTACCTGCTGGTATGCCCTGCTAAGATCTAGCTTGGAAAAGTATTTGCCTCCGGCGAGCGCAGCTAGTATTTCCTCAAGTTTGGGCAGGGGGTACTGCTCCGTGTCTAGGACAGGGTTCAACGTTGTTTTGTAATCCCCGCACACACGTATGGTGCCGTCCTTTTTAACTACCGGTACAATAGGCGTAGCAAACTCACTGGTTGACACTTGCGTAATGACGCCCATTTGTTCAAGCTTCTGCAACTCTTCCTCTACGGCCGACCGGAGTGCGTAAGGCACGTTTCTCGCTTTGAGGAACTTCGGACGTTGCTCTTTCAAAAATAAAGTGGCTCGCTCACCTTCTATCTTGCCAAGGGTGCCGTCGAAGATGCGGCTGTACTTGGCTTGAAGTTCTTTTAGGCGTGCCTCGTACTTCTTGCTTGCATCAGACCGATGAGAGTCCGACAGCTTGTGTACGCCGCAGATGTTGTCCCAGTCCAGACGAAGACGTGTGAGCCACTCGCGGCCCAAAAGAGGCGGGCCATTGTGGTCAACTACGTAGAGGGGTAGAACGTCCTCTTGACCCTTGTATCTTACGGACGCTTTGACGAAACCGCAGGGTTGCACGACTTCCCCGGTGTAAGTCTTGAGGCGTAGCTCGGTGGGTTCAAGCTTCAAAGGAGGCTGAAATTTCTTGAACTGCTGCTTCGGTATTATGGACACCGTGGCTCCCGTGTCCAATTCCCTGCTCAAGGAAGTTCCTTGAACTTCCACGTCGACGGTGATGGGTCGCCGGCTTTGTGGTGACAGCATCTTGACGTTGAATGTGTCGTCGCTTTGAAGAGTCCGGACCCACTTCTTTCCGCCAACAGTCTTCTTCTTGGCACTCCGACATGCACGCTGAACGTGACCCTTCTTGCCGCAATTCATGCACTTATCTGCCATGTGCGGACACGCCCGGGCGAAATGCTTATCAGAGCCACAGCGATAACACTCGAACGACTGTTTCCTTTTCGCGGAATCTTCGGTACTCATCTTGTGCAAGTCATCGCTCCTTTCTTTTGCGTGCGCCTCCTGAACATTTTTTTTAGCTTCTTCTAACGCGAGTGCGCGTTCAACGGCTTTTTGAAATGTCAACGTTTTATCCTCTGCAAACAAATACCGCTGTATGTCCGCACGGAACAAACCGCACACGAACCGATCTCTCAGCGACTCATCTAGGAAACCGCCAAATTCACAGGTTTGAGAGAGCTTCCTGAGCTCCGCTACATATTGTGCGATACTCTCGTGTTCCAACTGACTACGGCGATGGAATTTCGCTCGTTCTCCAATCACTGATACTCTCGGTGACAGCTGGTTTCGCAGCAATTGGGTTAGTTGCTCTAGCGTGTTTTCTGACGGTTTGGCAGGTGCCGTCAAAGACTTCAAGAGACTGTACGTTTTAGGCCCAATAACGCTTAAAAAAGCATGCACCTTGAGGTCGTCAGGTATTTTGTTGATCAGAAAAAAGGACGTCAACCTTTCTTCATAAGACTGCCAGTCACTCACAGTTTCATCGAAGGCTTCTACTTGGCCGATATGACTGGAGGATGCCATCTTGAGAAACTTGCTGTCGCCGAGTACCCAGCGGCGTGCGGTGATGTTTCGCTGTCTGTTTGGACGCAGCTTCAAGGCTTCTCACCTTCGTCTTGGCTTTGTTGATCCCATCTTCGTCGCCAGTTGTTATGTCTGCGGTGCAAGGAGTGGCCAGACGAAGGAAGGACTGCGAAACAGCTTTATTTCCGCAGAGGCCGGCAGCGATCTGGCTGCGCGTATGACGGTGCTCTTCTTATAGAGCGCCCGGTGACGTCAGTACTACGCGTACTGCTGATAGCAACGGCAGCGGCCTCTAGCATTTGTGTCCCTTTCTAGTTCTCGTCTTTTGCGCTGAATTAGAGGTTATAGATTACCAACTAAAACCCAATTATCAACCCTAGCCATATCAGTAGACGCCCACATCTTACCCGGCTCGCTCTCTTCTGCAGTGCATAAAAATAAGATACGAATTGATTTTTGTCAGTGCTTTCGTCGTGCCAGCGAGAACAGGAAATATTAGACGATTCTTTAAACCTGAGCAAACTCTTCTTCATCCTCTTGGGCCTAGAGCTATGATGAAACTCTGTGCGTTTTACACACTTCAAGAAACATTGAGGTGAAATGTGCGGGTCACAAGAAGAAAAATGTGTCTAAAACAAGAAGTACTAGAAAAATCGTATTGAATATTCCGAAGAATGCTGAGTCGTCATACTTGGATACATTCAAGTTGGTACAAGGCCGTATTTTCCGGAGTTATAACGCCTGAGAACTCTGAAAATAACTAACGAAACGATAGTTTAAACTGTCATTGGTTCGAAGCAAGTTTCAAGCTCACACGTGCACGCACCACGCCGCAAGCCGTGCCGACGAGAGCATCGTGTGGCGCCATTATTCTCGGGTGGTTGTTGTTTGTTCAGAGAACCGACGTCGACACGTCTTGCTTCCGGAGCCACCGGGAGCCGATCACGATTTCATTAATTAAGCTTCCATGTTTGCCGAGAGGCCAAATTGATTAGAAGTCGGGAGCCACCGCGGAAGAAGCCAGGAGGTTTCGGCAGCGCCGCCGTGTTCCCAAAGCCGCCCAAGCGTTTTAATGGGTAAAACGGGGAGCCCTCTTACCTCCCCCCCCTCCTTATTCATCTACTGTCTTAACTGAGCAACTTCCTTGTTCATCACGAAGCAGGACACACGCACGACGGGGTTCAACCAACTGCGTATTGATTTACTGATACAACGTCGATAATTTGTAAACATACACGAAGAAAAATTGAAGAAAAAAATTCACGAGCAAAAGTTAAGCTCACCTTCTGGGGTGCTGACCTCCGTGCGCATGCGGTCAACGTATTTATAACCGTGGGATGGTTAAAAAGCTCAGAAAAAAATTGTTGCAGTCGGTTCTTATAACTAATTAAACGTGGGTCGGATGAAAAGAGAAATAGCTTCAAAGTCTACTGATGCCCCTTGGAAGCCAGTTATACGAAGTAGTCGTGTTTGTGCATAGCTTGCATGAACTAGATGCAAAAGGAGCATGTAGAGTCAGGATTACATCGAGAAACAACTGAGTAAAACATGTTTGTTGCGAGTACAAGCCGAATCCATAAAAAACTGCACTCGACAAAAAAGAAGCAACAATAATTGACTTTCTACGTTATAGATGTCAACACGTCGTACTGAAAATACGTTGTTGGATCGATAAACCTTAGTACAATCTTTTATACACTGAAACTTGTACGGCGCCTTCCGGCGAAAATGCCATGGTTGCCGCTATGACATAATATCATGGCAAAGCAGTATCGACATACAAATGCATCGCGATTGTATCTTGGAGTTAGTTTCGCGTATCTGAATCCGTGTATCGAGATACATTTGAAAAATTAGTGAAATATATTTACAATCCATTGACTGTGTCGCGATACTTCGGGAAGCTTAGGTATCACGTTACATTTGTTCTAAAAAAAGGAGCTGTCGTGTTTTTCGCGATAAACAGAAAACCACTTTTTTTGGTACGAGTTTTTTCCCCAAGATTTATATTATGGACCCGCCTCACAGCTCCCGTCAAAGGGGAGAAGCCTGGTTGCCCAGTATGTATTACGCCGATGAAGTCAGTAAAATTGAGTCAGTAAAAGGTGGTCTGAAATAAGAGCAGTGGCAAAAATAGCAAGATAAGCGCCTTCGCACAGCCCTCCATATTTCCGCTTTAGAAGGGTGTTCGCAGAAATGAATGCGAGTGGGTGTAACACGCCCGTGTGTGAATAGGCGAATAATAATTTTATTCAAGAAACAAACGCTTATGCTGACGTACAGTTCGGTAGTGCCGCGCCTCTCGCTGATAAGAGAAGAAGCGGCAAGTGGTTATTTTTATTTAGAGCGCGGCATGACTTGCTGGTATAGTGGAGTATGTGCATTACTTGCAGTTATTACATGTTTCCTTTTTCAATGAATTAAATTAGTAGTGCTAAAACAAAACACTTAATGAAAGAATTCGGCAGATACACTTAAGAATGCTTCCGTGTGGGAATGCGAAAGCATTATAGTCCCTTTGGTGAAATGTTTTCGATTGATGTTTTTGATATGCAGTAAATTTCTTTCTGCTGATTCGGTGTGTATTTTTGCGTATACGTTGGCCACAGACCGGAAATATTCGGACCATTTTGCTGCAGAACGATATATTTTATTTTAAGTTATGCGATCCTCTATGTCTAATGGTAGGTCTGTCGTAATTATGTCATATTCTGTTGCGGTGAAGTCTTCGTCATCAGACGGATATCTGCCTGGTTTGTAATCTTCGCGTCGTAACGGTTACGGTGGTGTCGGCGGTGGTGGGATTTGGTCGATTTAGAAAACCATTGCCTTGTGGTCGGTGAAATGGTGCGCTGATTTTATACACTCATGACGTGACATCGAGAGTTCATCGCAGTAGACACAGCACCGATAAAATCCGAAGAGCAAGTGTCGCGCGGGAGGCAGTGCTCTCATTTTATACACTCATGACTTGGCGCCACCTCCTCCACATTGGCTTCGCCGTCACGTGCCCAAGGACGCATACACTATATAGCCCACACCCTTAGTGAGCCAGATGGCTGCAAAGTGACCTGTACAATGACGCACGCACTAGGCACACCTTTAGTCAGCCAGAACCGTGGAGCCGTTCTGGCGATCGGGGAAGCCTGCTCGTCTTTTACCCCGGAGGCCCGGGTGCGATTCCCACCCAGACCGCAATATAGCAAATTTCATTTTCAAAACCATAAATTTACTTTGTGTGCCGAAACCTTCCTGCGAAATTTCCAATTTCGGAGGAAGGTTCCTGTGCACAAATTAAATTAATGGTTTTGAAAATTTGACGTCAATCCGAGCATTTTGGCGCCGTCGGCCATTTTTGGTACCATTGGTCGGTCACCCGCCGACGACACCGGATTTTCTCGTAATGGGGCATATATTGCTTTCGCAATAATACAGTCAGATTTACACTAAAGAGTCGGAGGAATCTGGCCTTTCTCGGGCCTTGGAAACGAAGCGGGAGTTCGTCGTAGTCTTAAGCTCCATCCGTGCCCCGGTAGTGACAGAAGCTGCTCAGGTGATGTAGCTTGACCCTAGGTCAGCTGGCGGTGCTGTCTCTCAAAGGTGCTCGCGTGTTCGATGCAGCAGTTGTACGTTGTCGGTACGAGCAACATATGAACGTGGGGTTCCCGCGCGCCCTAAAACAGCAGCTGGAGCCCACGCGTGTGAGCCTATGTCGTACACAGACACAGGCGTAGCTTGCCCAAGTCTGGTAGTGGTCTAGCCGACATGTTGTAGCACTTGCGTGTTTTCCTTCTGATTTGCTCGAGACGGGCTTGTACATCTTTGGGCGGGACGGTGCTGGGCATCAAATGACTTGTCGGAGTTCAGGAATTTGCAGCTGCGTCCTTGTATGCCTTCTCATGAGCCTCTCCACCAGAGACTTCAAACGGCCGTCCTTGGGCTGTTTGTGTGTGCAATCAAAGCTCCGCTAAACTTTGTAGACTTGAAGGGTAACTTTTTAAGCAGTTTTCTGGCATCTTGACCTGCGCGCTCGGACATCCTATCTGATATTGAATGGTGCGGGCTAGAATTTACGTGAATGATTGAGTGCTCACTCACGAAGTATCTGAACTGACTTGGCAACTTCAGATTGTCTTGACTATTTCATCGATAGAGCCACACTTAAAGATATGGAACTTTTTCAGATTTGTTATTTTGTCATTTAATTGTACATCGGGTGTTTATTATTTGGTACACTAGTCTATCTCAGTGCCGCATTTGTCTTCATCGATGTTCAAATCTGTGCAAGTCTCTTTGCATTGTTGTGCCTTTCCTTGCTTATCGGGTGTTTATTAGTTGGTACAATATCTCATTGCTGTTTCTGTCTTCATCGACGTTCAAACGTGTTGAATTTTCTTCGCGTTGTTTTGCCTTTCCTACCACGGTCGAATATGGACCAGGCAGTATTATTAAATAACAATATAACAATAATAAAAAAAACTGTTGGCTGCTGTAAGGTGGTCCGTTGTCGCTGCACAACTCTACTGGTAGTCCGTGCGCGACGAAAACTTTCACGTAGTCTGTAATTACTTTGCATCCTCACTTGAAAATGTACTCTAGAGTTTGGTTTTCCCTTTCTGTGTGAGTTTTAGCCCTGTAATGTATTTAAAATGATATTAATGGTACACGTGCTTGTATTTCTTCAAAACCTTGCTTGCTTTTGTTTCTTTGCATACTGTTCATTTCTGATTTGTTTGTGGTGCCGTATTACTGTTCTTTTTTAAAAGATATGTTCAGTGCCCTTCCCGCTTAGACCGTTTCAAGATCCGCGTTATTTATTAAGTTAAGAAATAAAAAATTACTTAAGGAACTGTCATGTGCCTATGTGGCTTCACTTCAAAAAAGAGTAGAAACCGCCAAAGCTAGAAACTCTTGGCCGTTGTGGAAAAAGAGGTCAGTTCCCATGACATGCCAAGGCAAACTGGGAATATCGTGGCTAAAAATAGGGAGCTTCGCCTTTCTCCGCTTGTACTTTTACGTCAATGCCACTTTTGGTGAACATGAAGGTAAACCTGAGACTGGAGTAGCAAGAGAGA